CCCCCAGGAGGGGCGGGAGGTGGCTCCAATAGCGGCTGGGTAGAGCCACTGAGCTCAAGACTCCAGGCCGAGGCCGCCAGCACAGGTGGGGGTGGCTTAACCAGGATCAGAGCCGGGCTCCCCGTGCAGAGCCCGGGGAGTGGCCAGGACTCAGGAAGCGGTGGCATGGTCAGGGCCGGTAGGCGTTTCAGGTTAATCTATGGTCAGGGTTAGAACTCGGGCCAGCTTGTGATTACAACCACTGTGTGCCCAGGACTGGGGGTCAGTGGCCAGGGTCAGAGGTCAGGGTGGGGCTGGAGGTCAATGCTAAGACAGGGATGGGGAGGACAATGACTGTGGGCGTCACTGAGACTCTCCAAGGGTCAGGCGAGCCAGCCAGGGAAGCCAGGCTCTTCGAAGCCTCTTCCTGGAAGCTCTTCATTTATGATCCCGCACAAGAAAGTATTCTAAAATAAAAGTCTTAAAAAATTAAAAACCTGGGCCAGAAGATGGCATAGTGGTTGAGGCGCTAGACTCCTACGTGGCTGACCACAGTTTGAGTCCTAGACCTGGCAGCTTAAAAATCACATCCGGCACCTGTGTGTGAGTGCCCAGAATCCGAAGTGGAAAATGTGGGAGAAAGGACTTTGGCATGACCATCCCCCCGGGGGGTGATTTCTCGCTGTCTCTCTGTCACTCCAGCAAGTACATGTGCCCCATAGCAAAATAAATAAATAAATAAAAATTAGAAACCTTAGCCAATATTTAAAATGGTAAAGAGAAGATCTGGCCACACGAGCCAAGGGCTCTGACCACAGTGTGGCCTTCAAAGCCCAGCGAGGGCATCTTCCATGGGCTTTGTCAAGCATAGTGCCGGCTCCTGGTGGCAGTCCAGGCCGTGACAGATCCTGGAGTCCATGGGTGGTTTGGCCCAGGGTTGGACTCTCAGTTCTAGAACTAGAGGCGGGTGGGGGGTAAAACGTAACGCTCTGCAGGGCCGACCCTAGGGGAGGTTCTGGGTTCGTGTTCAGAGACCTCCTGAGTGCTGGGCCCGTGTGTGCCCACCACGCAGGCTGGCTGAGGCTGGAGGTGGGTCGCAGCCGGGACCCCGCGGGGCGTGTAGTCTCTCCGTCTCTGTGGCACCGCGGGCAGCCCACGCGGTATGGTCTGTCTGCACAGCCTGGCTTACCTTGCAGCACGGACACGCCATCCGTAGCCGTGAGGGGCTGATCTTCCCTGTACCAGGTGAAGTTGGGGGGTGGGACGGCGTTGGTGTCGCAGTACAGATAGGCCGGGTTGTTCTCCACGATCTCCCGGTATTCTGTCACCTCCCCTTGGGCCTCCTCCTCCCGGGACAGGATCTCAAAGGCTGCACTGGTATCACCCATTTTCTGGAACAGGGGGGGCACTGGGAAGGGGAGACAGAGCTGCTGGGAGGTAGGGGAGGGGCAGGGGATGCTCCTCTGCTCAGACGGGGTCCAGGCCAGCCCCTCCCTGACTGGGCGCTGAGGTCCACGCTCGCGTCATTCTCTCGGGTCAAAGCTGTTCTTAAATCCACTCGTGCCCTCAGCCCATGTTCACTGAGCAACTGCTGTGCTGCACACTGAGATCGGGTTCGTGCCCCGTGGAGCTCGTGCCTGACAGCTGAGGCTCCATCCAGACCCTCAGCTGCAGCCAGAGCCCAGAGGCACAAAATCACAGGCTTTCGGAACTGGAAGGAGGCCTGCAGGGCCCCTCCTCCGGTCACCTGCATTTTGCAAGAGGTGCAGCTGGGGTTGGGGAAGCAGTGACTTCTCCAGTCCCTTAGCTAGGAGGGCCAGGGAAGGGGTCTGACAGAGATGAGGAAGGGGAGAGCAGCCTGGGGCAGGTCTTCCTCCCGCTAGCTCGCCCCAGAAGCCCCTGGCAGTGAACCTGGCTCTGAGCCCTCACCTGTCTCTCAGCCTGGCTGCCAGCACCCGTCTCCCTGTCTCTCTGTCTCTCAGCCTTCCAGCCTCCCTGCTTCTCAATCTCCTGGCCTCCTAGCCTCCCTGTTTCTCTGCCTCCTTTTCTCCTTCCCTCCCTCTCCCTTTCTTCACTGTCTTAGACCGGGGGAATGTCAGCCATCGCAGGCTGGCAGCCCTATGTGCCCACAGCCACCGGCCATGCAGGACCTGCCACGGCAGTCACCACGCACAGCCTCTCTACTCACTCTGCACCCGATTACTTTGAAGCAAACCCCCATTTCCTAATAAGAGAGGGGTACCCCACAGAGGGGTGAAGTGCATGGTGTTTTGGCTTAACCAAACCCAATCTCGGGCCTGCCATTTGTCTCTGATTGGAGCAGAGGCCCTCCTTGCAGGGAGCCGCGTCCCTGGCAGTGGGGATAGAGCAGCAAGCTCCTGCCAGGCCGTCCTGCCAAGTCAAGGGAAATGTCAGGCGAGGCTCAAGGCAGCACCAACCAGCTGGGCGTGCTAAGGCTGGCCCACCCCTGCTGGCCCGCGGCCAACAGCCCCCCAGCCCGCGCAACACACCCTGAATGAGCACGTTGAAGTCCTGGTCGTCCTCGCCAGCCACGTTGGTGGCCACACACAGGTACCGCCCTGAATCCGAGACCTGCGTGGGCCGGATCTGGAGCAAGCGCCCTTCACCCAGGACCTGGAGCCGTGGGGAGGGGGCCACAGGCTGCGGGAGGGAAGAGAGCGACCGAGATCAGAAAGGAGGGCCAGAGACACCAGGGCAGTGTACTGGGTTTCTTCTTTCCTTTCAGTTTTTTGCTATAGAGTATATGCGCCCACCAAAGAGAGACAGAGACACAGAGAGAGAAAGGGAAAGTGAGAAGTCACCCTCCAGGGGGAATGGCCATGCCACATTCCCTTCTCTTTACCCCTTAGGGTTTGGGTCATGCATGTGCATGTGCTCAGCGTGTTTTTCAAGGCACCGAGTCTGGGACTCGAACTGCACATTTGGCCATGTGGGAATCCAGTGCCTTAACCACCATGCCACCCTGTGTACTCACCTTTTAATACACTTTCTAACCATACAATATGAAGCGACAGGGACACCCTGACAACTTTGTGAAACCAAGTCTACACGGCATGATGGGAGAAGATGGAAGCTGAGAGACCTGCTCCCTCCAGACAGCAATCTCTCATTTAAAACTGGGGGCTGGGCTGCCTGTCTGGGAGGGTCCAGGCAGAACCAGCGGGGCCGAGGCGGGAGCTGAGGCCGCCACGGGCTGGCGCTCACCTGTCCATCCTTGTACCAGCTGATGGTGGGCGGAGGCACGGCCCAGCACTCACACTCCAGCGTCAGGGTGCTGTTGACCTTGGTCTTCACCTCCCTCACGCCAGCCTCCCCCGAGGGGTCGTCTTTGGAGATGGAAGGGGGGACTGGAAGACACAGGGGCCTGAGGAGCAGGCTGGGGATGCTGAGGCCCTGAATTCACACTGGTCCTGGGCAGTCCCAGAAACGGAAGGCTGGCTCCAAGAGTGGGGAACAGGCACCCCAGAAACCAGCCTGCCCTGGGTCGTTCACGTAGAGGGAGAGCATTTATCTGTGATGGCTCTAGGACAGGGTAAGTCTGAGGCAGGGAGAATCCCAGGGTGCCTTTTTGGGGATCCCAGGTCTCGGCTTGAGGAGCCTCCATTGCAGTCACAGCAGAGGAAGCCATGGCCGGGCCTGGGAGCGAGCCCTGTGCTCCAGACGTCCTCGGCTCTGAACAGGGCGTGACAGCCCACCGAGGGGGCAGCCACATGAGGGTGCCCTGGGTGCCTTGGGGCACACGGAGTTCCCAGGCAGCCGTCCACCCAGCACTAGTGCCCGGCAGCTGCCCTGGAGGCCCCCGACTCACTGAGGACTTCCACGTGGTAGTTCTTCACGGCCTCCCCCAGCTCGTTGGTGACCACGCAGGTGTATTGGCCGGCGTCTTCCTTCTGGGCATTCAGGATCTGCAGCCCGTGGGTACCTGCTTGGGGACCACGGCCAGGGTCACCAGGCAGCCATAGCCCGGGCCAAGAACGAGCTTGGGCCCCCTTCTCTGAGCCAGCCTGAGGGCGTGTCGCCCGGCCACTCGCCCTCCCTCTCACAGAGGCCAGCACCTGGGAGCAGCTGGATGTTCCCGGAGGTCTCGAAAGGGGCCCCGTCCTTCATCCAGGTGATGTTGGGGGCAGGGAAGGCCAGTGCCTCACAAATCAGAGAAGTGGGGTTGTTGATCGTCACCGTCACTTCCTCATCGGCACTGTCCTCGGTCACTCCCAGGATGGTGGGAACCACTGTGGGGGGCAGGGAAGCATTCATGAACACAGACCCCAACCCTGGTGCTCATGGGAAGCTGAGGCTCAAAGGCCGCATGCGTGGTGTGGTCAGATTTGCCCCGGAGCCTGGCTCTCGGCCACTCAACAATATTACAGGGGAAAGCCTCGTAGCTCCACCTTCGTTTCCCCAATAACTTCGCAACACCCAGCTTCTCTGCTAATGTAACCAGAGTGTTCAATGTGCACGTGTCCAGTTTCTCCCCTCCCTGAGCTGGGAGAGGGCTGGACCTTTGCCACTGCTGAGTAGAATGGTTCTACTGTCTTTGGTCTTTTGTCCTCTTCAGAAAAAAGAGGGAAAGTGAGAAATCATCCCCTGGGGGGGATGGCCATGCTGCAATCCCTTCTCCATTCTCCCCTTGGGATTTTGCGTGCATGCACGCACACATGCATCTGGCGTTTTTTTCAAGTCGCCAGGTCCAGGACTCGAACCATAGTTGGCCATGTGGGATCCAGCTTCCTTAATTTCCACACCACCTGCTGACCCCTAAAACGTCTTCTTTCAACCCTGTAGGGAACTCTCCTTTTTCACCACCAGCGTGTTTTTGTTTTTAGAGAGGTTTTTGCTATAGGGCATGTGCACTCACCAGAGATAGACAGACAGACAGAAAGTGAGAAGTCACCCCCCAGGGCGGATGGCCATGCCACAGTCCTTTCTCCTCCACTCTCCTCTCACGATCTTGGGCACACATGCACATGTGCCTGGTGTGAGTTTTAAGTGGCCAGGTCCAGGACTCGAACTGCGGTGGACTGTGCGTGAGTCTAATGACGTCACCATTACAGCATCTGCTGGTCCTCTCCACCAGCATTTTTAGAAGGAGGTTTTGTTAAACGTCTCTGTGCCCTGCACGTGGTAGGTTCTGTTTCCCTAGCCTGGGGACAGCTCAGAAGGGCACTCCCCTCAGGAGATGGATGTCCTGGCACGAGCCAGGTCACCTCTCACCCTCAGAGCTTCAGCTGTGACATGGGACAAGCACATGTCCTGCTCCTAGAGTCACTGTGAAGACTCAACCCATCAGGCCTGCTCAGATGCCTGGCCTGTGAGAAATGTGCCATTGATACAGCTGCTGTTACCGTTTAGTTATTGTCTGCCTGCTTAGAGAAGTGGAAGAAAAACAGCAGTGTATTGTGGAAAACTGCCCAGGAGCTGGTCCCGGTGGTTCTGGGATGCACCGGGGGGCTGGGAGATGCCAGGACCCTACCCAGGACACTGAGCTGGAAGTGCTTGGTCCTCTCTCCACCAGCGTTGGCTGCGATGCAGGAGTAGTGGCCGGCACTGGACAGGTTTGCCTGGAGGACCCACAAGAGCGCTCCATCTGGGGAGACGTGGTAGGCATCCCCAACAGTCAGAAGCCGGCCGTCTTTGAACCATGTAACCTTGGGCTGTGGGTGGCCTGCGGGCAGAGGAGCAAATTAGATAGCTTGGCAGTCTTTGACCCAGTCAGCCCAGGGGTCAGAGACTGCTCCTGGTCGGGGCAGGAGACTAGCTCCAGAGGCCCAAGAAGTCCAGTATAAAACAGAAGCAGCCACCAGCCCTGGCCTGGACCCTTCCCTCTGTGATTTGGAGACCTTCACTGAGGAATGGACAGAGATTGCCCAGTAGAGATAGGCAAGACAGACAGGAAATTCCTTCTATTTTCCCACCTATCCATCTGCCATCCATCCATCCATCCATCCATCCATCCAACCAGTCATTCATCCATTCATCCACCATCCATCCATCCCACCATCCACCATCAACCCATCATCCATACATCCAAACAACCATCTATCCATCCACCATCTATCATCCAACCAACCATCCACCCATCCATCTGTCCATCCACCATCTATCCTTCTATCCAACCAACCATCCATCTACCATCTAACTAACCATTCATCCAACCAACCATCCATCTCACTATCCATCCATCCAACCAACCATTCATCCATCCATCCATCCATCATCCATCCATTCCAGCATCCACCATCCATCTATCCAACCAACCATCTATCCATCCACCATCCATCCATTCATCTATCCATCCACCTATCCATTCATCCAACCAACCATCCATCCATCCACCATACATTCACCATCCACCATCCAGCCAATAATCCATCCATCCACCATCCATCCATCCAACTAACCATCCACCTATCTGACCTCCCACCTACCTATCATCCAACCATTTCTCCCTCCCTCCTCTCCTCCCACCTCCCTCATTTTTCTATCAGCCACCCATCCTTCAGTCCTCAAGCATACTAATGGGAGCCTATTCTGCCAGGCACTAGGGAAACCTAGTGACAAGTAGCCCTCACATCCTCAGGGACCTTGGATGTCACAGGCCACTATTGTGCAGTGTGGTGAGTGCTGAACCAGGGAAGCACTGGGACCTACAGGGCTTAGGAGAGGCAGTTCCTGGCCTGAGGGGCCAGACAAGGACTCACTATGGAAGATCTTAGAAGCCAAGCTCTGCCATCAGGTGAGGAGTGGGGAGGTGTCTGGGACAGAGGAACAGTAAGTGCAAAGATAAGCAGGGAGATGGGGTGAGTCTACAGGTAGAGCTCCTCAGCGGGGAGCAGCAGGGTTGGGGCAGGGGGAGATCCTGCGGCCCCTCCTTCCCAAAGCTTCCCTCCTGCCCCTCCCACCCCTCCCATCCCTCCCCGCCTGGCGTGGCCCTCACCTGTGGCGTTGCATACTAGCTGGGCGGTCTGCCCCTCGGGAACCTTGAGCACCTCCTCCAGGTCCTCGTTCTCAATACTGGGAGGACCTGGCAGAGGTAGGAGAGAGACCACTACAGACAGGGCTGCCCACTCCAGCTGCGTGGCCTAGAGTAGGATGGAGGCTCGCTTTCCCCATTCCCCAGGGTCCGCTTTCACAGAGCAGTGAGTTTAGTTTGCATATGCTGCTGGCTGAGGGTGATGCTACTCCCCCAGGGAGAAGGCCCTGATCAGAGGTAGCAGTTTTAGTGGTGCTGAAAATAACTGCCGCCTTTCCCTTTGGGTTAGTTCCTGCTGTTTCTGGAACGTTCCATGGTAGCCTCAGAGCTGAGGTTTCTGATAAAGCAAAGATGACAGGTCTGGCCTCTCCCTCCTTCCCTGTACTGGGGCCCCTGCTATGGCATGAGAAGTGAGGCCTGGGCCCTGCCCCACTGGAGCCCCAGGCAGGAGGGAAAGGAGTCCCAGGGCTCCCACGAGATGGGGCCGCTATGTACCTAGGACTTCCACGCTGAAGTTCCTCCGTGCTTCCCCAGCTGCATTGCTGGCCAGGCACGAGTAGAGGCCTCTGTCTTGCGCCCGTGCCTGAGTCACCTTCAGCATCCAGCCACCTGTGGAGGGAGGGTGTGGGCTCTGACCATGGCTCTGAGCAGCCACTGCCCCCAGCCGGCCACCCATCAGGCATCCTCTTGGAGGGTATGTGTCCCCTCCCACAGTATCCATTCCTCAGACGGGGAAACTGCGGCCCGGGAGGGTGAACAGAGTTACCTGGACATTAGACATGGAAAAATAAACTTCCGGACACTGTCATAGCAAGGAGGACCCAATACCCTGGCCACTCTGACTCTGGGCTAGCTGGGGCCGAAGGGACAGCGGTGGGCTACAGAGTCCCAGCCTGGGTCAGATCCCCATTCTATTCTGACAGGCACAGAAAAACGCCTTTTTCTCCCAAGGACCTCTCTGAGTGAGCTGGCTCCTCTTAGAGGAACCCCGGGGTCTCCTGAGACCAGTATGGAGAGGTCAGATACACAGAACACATGTCATCACTCTTGTTCCTGCACTCAGAGCAGACATCACTAATCAATGGCCGCTCTCCTTTCTGCTGGGCCCAAACACAGTCTCTGAATTCATATCTGCACAATGTATCAGCAACCATATCAAGTGGTCAGAGTGAGGCAAAGGAAATGTACATGCCCTCCCCCCATAGGCCGTGTGGGTCACTGCGTGAGGTCTGCAAGATTGGGAGACACTGTCTCTTGGGCCTTGGTTTCCTTGTTGTGCACCAGTGAGAACCATCACAAACCAATTTTGTGACTAGAATGAATATTTAGAGGAGAAATTACTTAGATTATTCATTTTTCCTGGAGCACCTCATCTGATCGGTGTTTGGGATGCACTCTTTTTTTTTTTTAAGAGAGGTTTTTTGTTATAGGATGCATGCACTTGCCAGAGAGACAGAAAGCGAGAAATCACCCCCTGGGGAATGGCCACGATGCAATCCTTTTTCCTCCATTCTCCTCTCGAGATTTTGGGTACACATGCACATGTGCCTGGCATGAGTTTGAAGCTGCTGGATCCAGGACTTGAACCATAGTTGACTATGTGGGAGTCCAGCAACGTAACCATTATACCATCTGCTGGCCCCAGGGATGCATTCTTTGGAGACCAGTGGCCAGAACGTTTGCCCCAACCTAGCTCCTCTCACAGGAACCCCAGCTCTGTGCCAGAGGTCATCAGTGTGTAATGGGCAGAGGCGGAGGGTCAGACCTGAGTCCCGGCTACGACTCTGGCTGGCATCTTACCTGCCAAGAGGTAGGTGTCCTCCCCGGGGCTGATGGGCTCTTCCCCTCGGAACCAGCGGACCGTGGGGGGTGGGACCCCCGTGGCCTCACAAAGCAGCGTCAAGGGGCTGTGCAAGGTGGTGGTGATGTTGGTGGGCGGGTCTGAGTCTCCAGTGAGCTCTGGGGGCACTGGATGCAGGGAAGACGCCGTTTGCTCCACCCAACTGCTGCCTCCAGAGGATGCCCTGCCCCCACTGGGAGTCTGAGGTGCAGCCAGGATGAGCTCAGAGCTGCTCCCACGGGGCTGCGACACCCAGAAGGGGAGTGGGGTGGCCACAGGAGTTAGGCAGACGCCCTGGGCCTCAGTTTCCCACCCTTTCAGAGTTATTTGAGGAGGAGTCATAAGAACATGTGCGAAGCGTTTAGGCCAGTGCCTGGTGCAGGGCGAGTGCTGAACTGGAGACTGGACTTAGAGCAAGGGGAGCCCGCCGCCCCGAAAGCGGCATACAGAACCAAGGGGCATCTGTGGTGTGTAAGAGGCCACGCTCTGCCCGCAGGGCTAGGCGAAGCCTGGGGTTCCAGGGATACTGGGGCATCATGAGGGGGCTCCTCCTCACACCCATCCTTGCCTGGCACTCTCCCTCTTGCCTCTGCCCCCTGCCCCGCCCTGAACCACTCCAGCACGGCAGGAGCTCAGTGAGTGACTGGAACCCCCAGGCTGCCCCAGCCACACCGAGTGGGCCACTACTCCTCCAGGCCCCCGCAGAGTCTGTTCCCTCTGCCTGGCACACTCCTCCCTGCACCCCAGCAGTTGCCTGACTCCCACTCCGCTGAGAGATCACCTCCTCCAGCAGGCTGCCCTGCCTTCCCTCTCGGGACAGTGTTCCTGGTCATGCCTCAGGGCCCCCCTCAGGATCCTTCCCCTTACATCCGGGCCTGGGGAGCGAGACTGTGGTTTCCCCGGGGCCCAGAACAGTGTGAGTGCTGGAGGGAGGGCAGCAGGGGTGAGAGTGGGGCTCCCTGAGCCAATCTGGATTTGAGCAGCTGCTGGGGCTGCCCCAAGAGCAGCACCAGAGACCTGACCCCAGAAGCAGAAGGACAGGAGGCTGTGCAGTGCCCTGCCCCATCTGGCCCCGCCCCGCCCCCTCTTGCCGCTGCAGGCCTCACCCAGCAGAGAGAGCGAGAACCTCCTCTCCGCCCGGCCAGCCGCGTTCTCGGCCACGCAGCCATAGCGCCCAGCATGGGCAAGCTGGGCCAGCTCCACGTGCAGCTGCTGACCCTGCTTCTGCAGCCGCAGGCCTGGCTCGGCCCCCAGGGGCTGGCCGTCGCGCTCCCATGTCACTGCTGGTGGGGGCTTCCCGGTCACCTTGCACTCCAGAGTAGCCTCCCCATCCTGGACCACTGAGACCAGCGTGTGGGGCTCCAGGGGGCCAGTGATCTGGGGGGGAACTGGGGCAGGAGGAAAGCACGTCACGTGGAGCTGCCAGAGGCCCTGGCCACGAGGACGCACCCGCGTTCCCCTTCCACCTGCTGGCTGTGTGACCTCACCTCTCTGGGCCTCCTTTGTCCTTCTGTATGACAGGGTCCTAACAGGACCGCACTGCCACACCCTGCACCCCAGGATCCCAGGGGGAATTGCCATCTGGGGAGCAAGCTCACGGCACAGCCCTCCCCTGGAAACAGACGCTTCCGGGACCTTAAACAGGCACAGGGACTGGTGGGGAGAAGGCCATGGCTGGGCGAAGATACTGAGCCGTGCCTTTCTCAGTTCCTCACGGCAGGACAAGTGTGCGGACAGGTCTCCCACGTACGAGCTCTCACACAGCCGCGCGGGTTCCCAGGTCTTCGACCGTCTCAAGATGTGCATTTCCCTCTGGCCATTGCGGGGGCTCGCTGCCCCCTCCTGTGCTCAGGGGCCGTTAAAATGGTGCCATTTGCGAGGACGTGGCCGTGTTCCTGTGGCCGTGTTCCTGTCGCCGTGCCTGCCTTTGCTCTCACTCTGGTCTGGGGTCTAACCCCCACCACCCGCCCGGTGCCCTTCCAGCCCCTGCACGCACCGGGCG